TTGAGCTAGATCAAGTGGGTAAAGTAAGAGGGAAATGAAAAGCTATTACAGCTAAAAAATACCAAGTAATACGAACATATCATTAACTGAACATCAATCGACAGTAATAATTTTTTTCTTTATCTTTATTACTGAAGGCATCTAATGTACTGCTGTTACTGTTCAGTGATGATGATGACGGTGATAATAATAATCATGATGTTGGTGGTGATGATAAAATTAGTGTAATCTGCAGTTTTAGAAAAAGCAAAAATTTCACTGGTTCAACTTAATTGACCAAAGTGTAATTTTCTCTACTTTTTTCTCCATCTTTTGCACAGCACCGTATTCAACTATAATAAATTCAATAAAGCCTTTATTTATCGGACTGACCAGTTCATTTTGCCATATTTGTTCCAACTCCTTCAAACGCAGGAGAAACAGAAGAGGAAGAACAGGAAATGAATCAGTAATATTGTTTATTATAGCTAAAATTTCAGCGGCAAAGATAATAAATAACGTATTTTTAAATTGTGTCATCATTTATGCTGGTCTTTTAATTCCTTCATCATCTACAATTACCATTATTAAAATCGTCGCTGTCATCACAATATTTTTTGAACATTCTGTTTCGTTCACATCAAATGAAATAAACATAAATTATTAATTTACAATTACTCATAAATTAGGTATATTTGAGTATAAATTTGTTAGAGAGGCAAACAAAAAAAAAAAAAACAGGGTGAGAAAAAGTCGTGATAAATTTTACACCATTATTGTTTACCAATGAATAATGGTGTGCATATCGTTTCTTTTCTCTCTGATAAATAAAGTTGAAAAGAACCTTTTTTTTTCTGCCTTTATTTTATTTTTTTTATTTTTCTTTTAATTTTTTTTAATTTTTTTACGATAATTATCGAAAAATTAGTCTACAAACTTCTTACCAAATTCACCACGCACTAAACTTGGGGATAAAACGATGCTTAAGCACTGTTGTTGCTTTCAGGTTTTACCTTTAAACGGAAACAACAAATGATTTTTGTTCAACGTATCACAGGTGACTAAAATATGATGTATTATTGGCATTTGTTTTTTAGATTCAGAAGCGTAACCCAGAAATCAACAATGTCTGCAAAAAAAATCTGCTACCATTGCTGGTCTCAAAAAATATATTGTTGATTTCTAATGTACCAAAAGCTGTTTCAGTTTTTATCCCTAACCTATATGACTTAGAACAATTTTGGAGTACCACTCGGGTGCCGAATCATTTTCGTAAGACTGCACAGGAAGTAAGAAATAGAAGGAAAAATCAAATAAGAACTGTTGTCAGCCAACTTTTCACCCCGTCCCACCTACTTAGATCACTTTAACCATTAACCTTTGTAAGCCATAAATACTCAGCTATTAACAAAATGACTTTAATAAAGGAAAATTTTTGCCCTCAATATTGATTTTCCACTGACAGTGCTACTGAAAGTACGTCAGTTCCTCCCTTTAAACGATCATTACAGAACATAGAAAGAAATTATTAATTGTTAGCAATTAACTGTAACAACAAAAATAGATGAGTTTCACTTTTTCTTTTTCTTTTTTGCTCTGCTTCATAACGACTTAAGACTATTGCATTTGGCTATCCATAGAGTTCCATTTCTTTAATTTTTCTTTTCCATTCACAACGGTGTAATAAGATTTAAAAAAAAAAAATAAGAGTTTTGCCTCAACTATAATGCCTCGTATGATGGTAAGCTATCACTGAGAATTTAAATGCTAAAGCAGTGTAGCTCTAAGATACCAAATGAGAAGAAGAAGAAAAGGAAGAAGAAGATAAAAAAGAATTAAGTTACCAATTGAATAATGTGTTATTTAAGGTGGTCAGAAGTTTGTGTATGTAACGAACCAAGATGTAATAACTTTCATTACTATCGGCTAAATATGCCGAAGGATAACGATGAAATTGTCTTTGATCGTCGAAGCACGTAAGTACTGTATCCGCTCTCCTAATTCTCTTACCGGCGTTTGATATTTAAAAGCTGAATCAGAAAAGATAAAAATTAAAAGTAATTTTATGCATCAATCGTATCATTAAAAAAGTGAAATTAAAATAAAAATTTAAACAGCACCAATAATCAGTTTTGCATGACAGAAAACTAAACTATTACTTTTTAGCGGTAGTACGTCAGAAGCATATGTGGAGCCAAGTGAACAAACAAATACGCAAACTTCACTTCTAACTATACTAATCGTTGCCGTACCATTAGCAGTCGGTGCCGCAATGGTTGTAGTTGTTGCCTTCAATTATTACTGCCACTTATGCTGAAAAACTGTTGCACGATGTTTATACTGAATATGACGGTGTTTCACAACGATTAGCCAAGACGGTCATTCAGTGCTCAAATAAGCACTTCTGCATTACGGGTCTCATCTGTAGGTCACTTCAGAATTCTGCTGGCAGCTGTTGTTCAGCTGAACTGATCTTTAAAACGGCAAAGAAAAAATAAAAAAGATAATTCAAAAAATATACGTAGTAACTATTCTTTACAACCTCTCATACAAATTTAGTACAGAGTTCCGCCTAAACTGCTGCACTTTTTTTCATTCAAAAATTAAATTTAATAAAAATCATTAATTAATAACTAAATTTTAATTGCTTATAGGTACGGGTCTTTTTCCATGTGATTATTTGCAAATAACGTCTGCCTACCGATATCTAAACAAAAGGTTGCGTTCATGTTAAACTCCCGATCCTCAACAATCAAGAATCCATCTTTATTTTTTATGTCTTGGTTTATAAATTTAACAAGCAAAATAAATGGAACGAGATGGTAACTTACTATAGAAAAATAAGATAACTTGACAAAGTCGTTAAGCAAAAAAAAAAAAAAACTTATTCAACTTTTAGTGGCCGAAAAAAAATGAGGAAGAAAGATAAATTTCAACGCATATATTTCTAAAGAAGTGAAAATATATATGTAGAATATCAAGACGAAAGTGTATACTCTCTGAGACCAAAAATATTAAAAAATTATACTGTAACTATTAAACACAATGACTGTGTAATATGTATTAATTTAAAATAATAAAACGTTATTGGATTTCAAAAAAACTTCCCACTGATGTGGTAATCACTTAACTTCTAACATTCAAATAATATTAGTAAGTATTTACCTGGTGAAAGCATAGTTTATCAACCTAACCATAAAATGTTATCAAAACTACTGAAATATGTCACGTGCCTCAAGTTGAGAAATAAAAAAAGTAGTAACAGAAAGAAGTTCAAAATGCCAAAGAAAACAATTGCTTACAAAATGGCATAACTTCTCATAAAATAGCTGCTGCACAAAAGAATGAAGAACGTCAAAAAGTCAATCATTTTTACTGAAGTACCGATGGTTATAGTTTTAGCAGCTGCCAGGGTGAAATAGTTTGTTCAAAGCCACAACAACAGTAACATCAACAGCGTTTATTTTTTGAATTCCCATCAGAAAAACAAAATGAAACAAAACAGAAGGGATTTGATGAGAATGACGGTGACGACGATACTGATGATTAAATGAGCCAGTGTAAACAAAAAAAAAAAAAGCTACTATATTTTGTGAAGGTCAAGCAAGTCATTTCAAGCGGACATCCTGTCAGAAGTAACGGCTAAATAGCAGAAGAGATGTGATTTTCTACATTATGAAAACAGTGAAAAACTCTTCAAATGCTTTGAAATTATGCTTTTTTTCAACGGCTTTACAGCTACACAAACTGGCATACCATCTTCAATCCAGACGCTATTATCGATGTTATTTTCTTGCAGCATTGCTGCGCAATTCATAAGTTCTTGTTCATCAGAAACCTAAAAAAATTAATGTGAATTGGCAAGCCATCTTAACTACGCAACCACCGAAATATTTCTTAAGTATTCCAATTCTCAAAAACCGTTCATTTTGCGCAAAACACGCATATTATGTAGCTAGCATTCAAAAAAAAAAAACAAATTTGCTAAAAAAAGTTTCCGAACAGCTTTCACCATAGAAAATCAAGGCTCTATACAGGTGGAGCGCCTATCTGTTCTCCTGATCTACAAGCCTGACGAAGCTTTCTCTTAAAAAAAACTACGCAATATTTGGAAGTCAAAATTTTTGCTTAAGTGTCAGTTGCATTTGCAAGCCTCCCGAAAATAATTTGGAAAAAACTAAAACCCAAGCCATTTCTAAAGCAATGACAATATACAAGACAATGACGTCAGATGTGCACACTTCCATCATTTACCATAAAATGTTTATAATAACTCCAGCCATTGCTTTTAAACAACATATAAAAGCGCAAACCTCTAACGTAACCTTCCTCATATGTTCAAGGTTACTCATATAGCTTAAAACTTCCGGGTCATCTCGAAATTTCCAAAGACATGCAGTTGCAGCGTGGGCCCCTTGTGACACCAATGCTCCAATAGGCCATTTTAATTTTTCCAGAAGATCGCGCCGGAGAATCAGATACATCACACGAGGGTCAGTCGGAGGCATCTATTATGCTATATGAGACGAAGCAGAAAAAATTGCAAATGACTTCCCTCCCTAGCACCAACGCGAAAGAACTTTGTTATGGTAATTCCCATCGCTGGCAAATAAGAATCTTGGAAGGCATGCAGGAAATGTGCTCAAAGTAGCAAATTTTGGAACTACTCCAATAATAATCTACCAGCTTTGCTAACAACAAAAACCTATTTTAAAACAACAATAAAAAATGTTACAACGGCTTGTTCGCAAACAGCTCTCGCAAACGTCAACAATTTGGAGTAAAACAGAGAGCACAAAATTGAGCAAAACAAATGAGTCATGAAGGAAAAAAGTTAGTCTACTGTTACACTATTATGGCTAAAGAACTAAACAACAAAATTCGAACAACTAGCACTCTTCAAACGTAACACCCGAACAAAAAAGAACAAAAAACAGAACATGACAAGGAACTAATATTGTACGAAAGCCCGGAGTAAAAAGATGAGAACGGAAGAACAATTATAAAACCTTTATCAATAATTTAAGGTCAGACACTGGTAGAGCTCCGTTCAGACGAGACTTGTGAAAGGAAATTTTCACAACACCTTAAGCACTGATCGTAGACCTAAAAGCAACAATCTTTTGCAAACGTAAGATAAACGCAGAGGTTCCACGTATAAACCGTAAAAAATTTTAAAAAAATCTATCAATCCTCGCCCAATTTGAAAATTAAAAAGTCTTATTCACGACTGCACTCTTTACAAAAAACACTAGACAAAACGAATTTTTACTTAAATGCACGAGGCACTTTGTAACAAAAATATAAAAATACCTTTTCAAATGCTTTAGCATCATCATCGTAATATGGATCATCAACAATAATCTTGCCCAAAGGATCATAAGTCCCTAAAAGTTGGATCGTACAACGTGCAGTCCCATTAACAGCCATTGCACACATCGACTTCAATTCCCTGAAGAAACAAATTCAAAAGCAACCGGTAATAAACGCAAGACGTTAATTATAAAATGCGAACTTTCAGAACAAATAAATACATCGCTTTTCAAACCTAATAAATCTTGCCAGGTTTATTTCAGCCCTTAAAAGATGAATCTGAATGGGTGGTTGACATGTAATCCAAGGCTAGCAGGACTACAACTCAACGGTCCTTCATCTAAGGAAAATAACCACCGGAAAAAAAACAAGCAAGAACTGGCTATGCTTGTGAATACACTTTTTAAAACCTTATTTTTTCAATGACATAGTTAAAGATGGAAAAGGCTCTCCAAAGTAATAATTAGAAATAAAATTGGACTTACGAAATATTGCTTTCATCCATTCCCATTATATAGTCAAAAGCGGTAAAGTCCTCGCCAATAACCTTCAAAAAATTTAATGGCATAACAGTACCTAAAAGCTTCAATCAGTGCCCTTTCCGAGCATTATTACACATAAATATAACTGCTTTATTAAAACTGAAGAAAAAGATGTAATATCTCAAACGATAAGTGGCATTAATTCAGCATCCAAAACGGTAAGAAATTAAAAATCTAAGCCTGATGAAACCAATTCCCCAATGAAAACAAATCTTTGTACTTTAAGTCCGTAAAGAAGCCCAACAGAAAGTGACTCAACAATGCACCGTTATATTCAATTAGCCTTCAGAGTAATTACTCTATTATACTTTATGCAGAATCACCTGTCGAACAGTATGTTTATAGCTGGTTATACCATGATCTTTCAATACTGCTAAGGTTCGCTTATCGGGACTCTTTCCTATATGGTAGTCACAAACTGCAGCACTGTCAACCAACCACTCGTCAGAAAGATTTTTAGTTTTTAAAATGTTCCTGAACACTGCTTCAGCCATCGGCGACCGGCATATATTCCCTAAAAAAACTTACTCGTTTCAATATTCAACAGACAACCTGAAAAATACGCTTCAGATTTAAATAAGCCGACAAAAGGCTAAGAATTAAATGCTACAAGTTTTAGATCCCATTTTTTCGGTATGCGAAAGATTATTTTAAATATTTTACCTACCGGCACAAACAAACAAAATACTCTTCTTTTTTCTCTCCAGGAAACTGTTCATGAAGTTGCACTTAATAAGCAGAATTGACAATAAGACAAGTTTTGTTCTTCTCTGCCTTCCGTTGCCAGCTCCTAGTAATAAGGCTAAAATTGTGCCTTATCTAATGAAGAATTATGAAAAGCAGAAAAAGAGCGCAATGTACGACCCGCTGTCAAACAGTGTAGATTTTATTACCCATAACATAATCAAGCGTGGTTCAACCATGCGGTTTCAAAGTACAGTTTTTAAATGCCAAATTTCAACATATCTGGTTGAGCAGTGTACAAAACAGAGTTTATCGATGCTACAAACAAGCTGCGCGGGGAACAAAGCGATGAGTGTTACTCAGTGACAGTGACTGTAGTCGTTATTGAACCTGCAGCAACCTATTATGTTCGAGACGTATTTTGGTGGCTGCTTTGCGAAACATTCCAAAACAATGTTCCAAATCACTTGCAATTTTTTGGCATTAATATGCAGAACTAGTCATTTCAGAGAAATACTGTCATAAAGTGATA